TGAGGGCGTTGTAGGATGCCCGATACATGGACCATGTATATGATAATTTATTGGAGATGATCATGTCAAAGACAGTGGGAGAGAGGATACTTTGGAGAAGGATTTTTTGTAAGATTTGTAAGATTTTTTTTTTTTTTTTTTTTGTACCAGGGATCAAACTCAGGTCTTTGCGATTGCGAGGCAGGCAGAAGGAGTCTTTAGAAGGATTTTTTGTAAGATTTGTAAGATTTTTTTTTTTTTTTTTTGGTACCAGGGATCAAACTCAGGTCTTTGCGATTGCGAGGCAGGCAGCAGAACCACTAAGCTAAATCCCTGGCCTGAGAAGGATTTTATATTAAGAGGTGATATGTGGAGGAAATGTAAATGTGAAAGAAAGGAAGACAGAGATTGTTGAGAGCTATACCCAAAAATATGTATAGCTGCTTGTATGGCAGAGGAATTATGCAAACAGATTTGATGGATAGCACACCAAAACAAACATTAGATATAAATATTTGTGCTGGGATACTAGTACTCCAGGTGGAATATTAGACTTGGAGATAAGTCCAAAGGGGACAGAAAAAAGATCCAGCTGCCTCTGCAGTCATAAAATGCTAATGATTTCAAATTTTCCTTTTAAATTGTCTATCCATTAAATGCTAGCTATTGTTACAAGGAATATTCTCCTTTTAATGTCACATTTCAAAATGTTACCGAAGGCTGATAATTTTTGATTTCGTGTCTGAGCATATCTGTTCGATAGATGCAGAAATAATTTTGAAGTAATTGATTAACTGTCAGGATTTAAAGCATTCAAATTGCAGATGTAGAATTGCCAAATAGTTTTCAGATAGAAAGCTTAAAACCCGGGTATGTGAAAACATGTCAGCCTTCTTACACTATTTTTAATAATAAAGAAGTGACCCAGGCATTTTTAAGGCCAAAAATGATAAAATGAATGATTGAGAGCAACCAGTAGAATGACAGGTTTAAATTACCTGTTAATTTCAGTGGCACACCCCTTAGCATTGCACTCAAGAAAAATTCAACCTTTCCTGGCCTTCCCAGATAGTTATGTAGGGAAGAAATAACCACATTAGTTTTAATTTTTCCTAAACTCTTGGCATGTTATAAGAGTGGAAAAGTGAATTACTGGGAATACAGCTTCCCCTCTGGGGGGCTTGTCAGTTTTAGCTGTCTTGTTTGTGATCTCATCTGGATATATTCTGATCCACAATCCACAGAAAGCAAGGGTTGGTAAAACATTTTTTGTTTCACTTCTTCATTTCACAGATGAGGAGGCTGAAGCCCAGAGGGTATCCTACTCCTTGAGCCTTTCTAATGGCAGGGCTAGAATTTGCTTAGGGTCTTCTGGAGAGCCACAGCATTTACTTCCATCACTATATCTTATCTTGTGTTGGGTCATGGTCACAGAATGGGCACAAAGGGGAAAAAGTGCTGACAAAACAGTCTTCAGAAATAGAAGGTGATGCACCTATGTTTTTGTGCGTACGCACTGGCCCCAGACACTTCGCCCCAAGAGCTCTTTGTTGTTTCCTGCTACCACTCTAAAGCCTCTGGGAAATTCAGTCTCAACATATCTAAAGGAACCGAGAGCCAGTCCACTGATCTTATCTTCTGCGGTAGTCGAGGCAAAAGCATCAAAACAGTAGTTGTACAGCATAATTTATTTTTAGACAAATAAGTCCCCAAGCAAAATGCTCTTCATTTTACTCTAATGTAGACTGCACTTCTTTCAATGCCATTAATTCTTTTTCTTTTTTGCCACTGGCTTGGATTCGACCCTCAGGTCAGCAGGTCTGAGTGTGGGACTGCAAAGAACAGGAAAATGCTGTAGGAGAGAAGGAGAGCAAATGACTAGCTTTTGGTCCTGCTCTGCCCTGAGAGTGTGGCTTTAGGATGGTACCCGGCTGTCAGCTCTTGCAGGGGAATGGGCAGCTGGTTGGAGTTACCTCAAGACTGAGCAAACACCTGGCCACCTGGGACCTCCTTCAGCACAGGCAAGGTGGTGTAACTGTGTGCCGAACCAGTGTTGCTGCAGATGACCCAGGGATCGGGCACAGTGAGGACTGTGGATCTTGGACCTTGGACTCTTTTAGTGATTATGCATGAAATCACAACCTGTGAACTTCACTTATCAAAGTTTCAGGTTACAAATCCCTTTACTCTCCTCCTAGACAATCTGTGCCAAATTGACAGGTGGTCTGTTTCAGTGCCTTGAAGATCTAATTCCCCTGTATCCTAGCCTTTATTGCTGATATTGAACCATCTCTTGTCGGTATAAAAGTTTCTTATTAGGAGGTAATCAGTCTTGTTTTTCTAGATTGTTTTGGAATTCTCATTAAGATATATATATATAGGTAGCATATTTTTAAAAATCTGCATATAATTTGTTGGATTCTGAAATCTAAATTGTGACTACATTCCAAACAATTAATTTATCCTGCCTTTTACTTTGTCAGTTATCTCTATAGCCTTCTCTAATATGCTTTTGTATCTGTCCATAGAATTTTTAATTTTAGTGCACTTTTTACTATTTTATTCATTTTCCATAAATTAATTGACTTAGGCTCAGCAGTCATATCTGCTTTTATTTCCTTAAACATAAGTTCAACTGTTTTATTTAGAGAATCTGATAATTCAGATGTAAAATGTTTGTTAAAATCCTAAAAAATATATTTGTGGGCTGCTCTCTGTGGTCTATTGTTGCCTTTTTCTTCTGTGTTTCCTTATTTTTAGTAGCATGCTTGTAATTGCAATTCAATATTATTTGTAGGATTAATTTGACATCTAGACTATAAATCTTTTCTTCCTAGTATAGACTGAATTTTTGGCTTCCAAACCGAGGGGTAATAACAGTTCCTTGAATAATCTGCAATAATGCATAAGATCCTAATAAGATTACTAACATTTAGAAATGGGAAGAAAGGAGCTAAAGGTGTAGGGAAGGTGGGATGGGTAGGGGAAGTGTAAAAAGGGAAAAGAAAAAAATGTGAGAGAATGAAAAGATGAAAATAAAGTGTTTGTAGATGGGAAGGGGAGGAGAGGGTGAAAGGAGGGCAGGGACAAGGGGAAAGGTACAAGAACCCAACAATGAATGTAACTGTACTGTATCCCTAAAATGTACCAATAAACTCAATTAAAGCTGAAAAAAATAACATTCAGGACTTGAGGTTTTCTGAAATAGTGAAGTGATTTGAAGAGGGCTCTTATCTGCATGGAGGTTGGTTTAGTTATGGTACTCAGAGTGTATAACTCTTTGGAAACTGAGATTTAGGGGGAGAAAGCCTGCTACTAGATTCCTCACTCTGTAGACTCTGGGAGACAAAACAATATAAACAAAAGCTTGAAATTGGAAGAACAACAAATGTTCTCATAGCAAATGTAACCTGGTAATTTCTCCTTTTTTTTTGGTCAGCTATTTTATCCTTAAACATTATCTTTGGACAATTTGGTTGTTTTGTATTTTAATTAGTACTGGTTGTACTGGCATTAATGAAAAATCTAACTCTTATAGTTATTTTCATAATCAAATCCCCAGTCTTAAAATGTATTCCTTAGGAATATGAGAGGCATTAATTAAATCCCTGAAAGACTAAGAAAAATAAGTGATTATGGTGAATCTTAAATAAAGTTGAAACAATTAGTGCCAGCAGAAATGTGGTTAATATGCTCTCCTGCCCTGAATGATGCTCGCCTTAGTTGGTGCATTCTTTTTTTACCATTTTAATTCTTTTTCCCACATTACTTTTTTAAAGCACTACTTTAAGAAAGCAATATGGCAAGGCATATAGTTATAATAATGTTTAACTGTTTAGACTAAATGTCATACTATTTACACAAAAGCAGAATTCTGAAAATAACCTTAATATTCAATATTAGTGGATTTGTTTTAATAAGTTATGACAAATTAGCATGGTAGCACATAATAGAGTAATTTTAAAAGAAAATTATGAGTATATAAAAATCAAATGTTTATAATAAAATGAAATAATGAAATAAAATATCAAATGAAATAGCAATAATAATAGCAGAACATAAAATAATATCTATAAAAATAAGTCTATTATCTGGAAGATAAAGAGTAAAACATACAAAAACAACAACCAAAGAAAGAGAGCAATTTATAATTTGAGCAAATTTATAATTTGAATTTATAATCTAGAAGTACACAATCTACACCAGGCTAAAGCCATTGCAGTTTCTTCTGTCTGTGACCCCAAAATGGCTGACAAGAACTACCTTGATTCCTATGAGCTTAAAGTTTATTTAAAGTGAAAAGCTAGCAGAACTCTGAGGCTTTATCTTTATCACCAGGCTTCAGTGCAGTTCTCAGGGAATGAGGTTTGGAGAAGATGCATCACTAGCATTTGAATATAACTGATTTGTTCTTTTCTTCTCAAGCAGGTAGGTATAATATAAATATCTACTAATATGTGATCATTAAATTTTAGTTTCAGCTATTTTATTTTTTTTAAGTTATTTTTTCCTAATGTCTTTCTCCAAATCTTTTCTTGTTCAACTGAGGGTTTCTGATGCTTCAATTTCAATTTTAGAAGTAAGTGCTTTGAGGGGGCCATTTTCTGATCTGCTAATCAAAATTCTAGCCTATCCCAACCTCATCTGAATAGCACTCTGTTCTTGCACAAATTATAACGTATCACTCCACATTTTTTGTTTACTATTTATCCCATTGTGAAAGCTCTAAAAGGGCAGGGATCATAATTGTTTGATTCTTACTACCTAAATATGTTATTTAATACCTAATGCTTTACATATTATATATTCATTTATGACAAATACATGTCTGGTTCAATTTTTTTCTAGGACACAATTTTACCTTTTGTTAGTTTTTAATGGTTTGTTTGGATGTAAAATTCTTTTATTTTGTGCAATGGAGGTGACTTTGGGAAGAGATCACATTTATGTTTAAATGTAATTATTAGGACAACATCTTCATAGAATGTTACTTTTGCCTCATTTTCTTTCTTTTTGTCCAGAAGAAATCAATGATTCTGCCAAGGATGAGATGTTTACTTTTCATCATGGAGGTGTACAAGTTTTATGCAGATATCCGGAGATTGTCCAGCAGTTTAAAATGCAGTTACTGAGGGGGAAGCAGATACTCTGTGATCTCAGTAAGACAAAGGGAAGTGGAAACAAGGTTTTCATTCAGAATCAGATGTTCTGTCAACTGCAGTTATCCAACAACAGTGTCTCCTTTTTCCTGAAAAACTTCGACAATTCTCACGGCAGCTATTACTCCTGCAACATATCCATATTTGATCCTCCTCCTTTTCGACAGATTGTTACAGGAGAATATTTGCATATTTACGGTAAGACATTGCTTTTGCTTTGGGGCTTAAGAGTACATACACATTTTGACAGTCTTCTCGCTAATGAAAACAAACCGATACCTTTCGTGCTGGAGTTCATTAGGTGTAGTTTGTGACAAATCATTTTTGATGAAATATACAAGGGATGGCTTATCATCAATAGTACTTATTGGCAATATGCAATTTAATCATATGGGCTATTGAGTTAGAATTAGGTCATGTTTGTCTTCAAACCATATATGCCATTAAAAGCAGGAAAAATTAAGACAAATACCCAAATTCATGGCTTAATGATAATTATTGCTACTCGGTTAAGGTATAAAGTGGAATGAAGTGAGAAGATGAAAATCATAATTTTGGAGCATTACTTTTCCTACTTACTGTTTGTGTGTGTGTGTGTGTGTGTGTGTGTGTATGAAAGTACAGACAGAAAAGCCTTTTCTATTACATGCATTTATAAACATAATATTTGTATAGTCTTACATTTTAGCCTCTGCATCCATGCTATATAATAAGTGATGTTAGTTACTGTTTACTGAATGTTATGATTATCATGAAGAAAAACTTGATTTGATTAAAAATTTCTTCAATTTTTATGTCTGGGCACTGACTGATTTGATTCTTAAAGATTTCATTAATGTATCTTTTTTCCAATACAGAATCACAGCTTTGCTGCCAGCTGAAATTCTGGTTACCCATAGGATGTGCAGTTTTTGTTGTAGTGTACAGTTGTGCATGCATATTTATTTTTTGGATTCAAAAAAAGGTGGGAAATTTCTATTTTTTTTTTTGCACTTGCTTTCCTGAGTAGTTCACTTTGCTCTTTCCAGAGTAATTTGATCAACATGTAGACTGTTTTTGCCCCAAATATGCTTACTAATTAAACTAATAATTTGGACTAAATCTTATTTATTTTATAGCCTACTTTGTTCCAAAAAGGACTCAGTGGCTCAGAGATAGGTTACTATTACTATTATTCAAGAAGGATAGGATATTAAAGCCAAGAGAAGGCAAGAGGTTAGGAAGGAGGTTAAAACAAAAATAGATGCTTCTGATTTTTTTTTTTTCAGTACCAGGAATTGAACTCAGAACCTTGCACTTGCCATGCAGGTAAAGTGCTGCTGAACTACATTCCTGGCCCGATGCTACTGATTTAAAAAAATATTAAATGTGGGTTGTAGATTTGAATCTAAGATTTGAATTCCTAAGAGTTAGGGCAGCAATGAACTAATTGTTATAAGTTTCACTTAGCTGGCAAGTTAAGATGATAACGAGAAAATCTTACAAGGGGCCGGTAGTAACTGACTCCTTGTTTGTGAAGAAAACTGCCAAAAAGCTATTCAGAAAGATAAAACAAGAAAAGTAACAACACAAATCTCTCTGTGTTGTGGGACTTTCTTTTTAATCTTTCACATTGCAGGTTCTCAATCAAAGAACTTAGCACCAATCTGCACACCATATGAGTGCGCTAATAGTACCCAAGTGTGGGGCGGTTGTGCAGATGGTGAGTGTATCTCTGCCAAACTAGAATTTGAAAAGGAGGTAAGGAAGGAAGAGAATGATATAGGGCTGACAATCTTAAGTCCTTTGGGGAAAGAACAATAAAGGCAAAAGTAAGAAGGAGACTCAGTGGAAAGCTCTTTTCATTTCAAGCCCCTTTCATAGTGTTCTCCTATTTGGCCTGCAGCCAAGAACCTAAGTTTATGATTACTCTTTCCTCATATGCCACTCCAATAGACAACAAAGCATAGAAAACAGTCACGAAACAGGTGGTGGGGCCGGGTGGGAGTAGCAGATAACAAAGCATGTTTCTACTTTTTCTTCCAGAAGTATGAACCCAGCATGCATGATGCGAATAGTGAATACATGTTCATGGCTGCAGTAAACACAGCTAAAAAACCTAGATTTACAGGTACAGCTTCACCTGGGAACTTGGGTAGGGGAGCGAATTTGTTCATGATAAGCCTGGGATTTTAATCTTTAATTCCAAAGGAAAGGAAAATATCTTGCAGGTTTCATTTTAGTAGTTTCTGTGAAAAGGAGGATTTTTTTCACTTTAACTGAATTTATGCCCTCCGTAGTATATTGAAAGCAAACAATATGTTTGTAAATCACTATTGAAACTACATAAACAGAAAGTGCATAAGCCATCATTTTATCAATGCAATTTTCCAATTGGCATTTGGGATGATTGTAAGTCTTTGTTGGAAGGTTCGTTAAGAGGGGGCATTTACCGAGTTTCAGTTAAGTACAGTTATTGACTGTAGCACTATGGGGATGACACAGGTGGATGGAAATTTTGGACTGAGATTAGAAAAAGAGATCTGGGCTGATGCTACTGAGGGAAAGAAGGAGAAATAGATGGAGGTATTCAGTTATTTCAATGTAAATATGTGTAGGTTTTGGAAACTTGGATGGCTTCAGCAATGTTAGGTGGAACTTTTGATCTTTTTTTATTTGAGAATTACAATTTCATGCTGTCAAGTTTGAGAAGCATCCACTGGAAGATTTGTATGTCTTATGTCTTTGAAAGTAGAATGATGTTAGACACATAAAGAAGCAGAAGCTACTGCATTTTTAAACCACTCAGCACTTATGGGCCATATCAAAGGGACACAAGTAGCTTGTGTTGTCATGGAATTACAGCATATAAAAGGAGCTGAAAATGCACTGTCAGTTCATTTCCTCCTGATTTTAGATGACAGGCATTGACGGCCAATGTTGGTTTGGTTCTCCAGGCAGTTAATACTATATCTTTTTGACCCTTGCAAAGAAAGAGCTTTGTTTCATTACTTTGCAATTGAAGAAATATATTTTATCTCAGCCACTGTGTTCATAATAATGTGCTCTTTGTTAGTTTGGACCCCCTAAAGCAGAATATGAGATAAGAACTTGGGTGCACGTAGCTCATTTGGGATGTAATCCCGGGATTTAGTGAGGGAAAAGGAAGAGTGAGACAGGTGAGGGGAGAGAGCAAGTGGACGGCTGGGGACATGTTCCCAAGGTCTCAGCTCTAGGTCACAAAAGCCTGGCTTCGCTGGGCTTCTGCAAAGTATAGGGAAGGATGCCCCTGCTCTGGCTTATTCTCCTGAAGGACTGTGAATGTGATGTTTACCCAGTCCATCACTAGTGGTTTGGAGTTGCCTGTAGGAGACATTAACGCTTCCTAATCTGTGTACTGTGAGGAGACCAGGTTCATCAGAGTGAGGAGTTCAGATAATGTTTGTTCTAGGTGCTAAGAATAGGCTGAGTAAAAAACAAAGAATTGGTCCTGGGTCTTGAAGAATAAAGATGAGTTTAGTTGATTGTGTATCTCTATATGTGTATGTCTATATGCGTATGGGTTGTGAGTATGTGGATATAAGAAGGAAAGAGAAAAAGCTTGTTGAAGGGAATGGGCACATAGAGAACTTTTAAAGACTTTATGAAAAATTTCTTTTACAGATGTGACCTCATAATCTAGACCTCTGGCATCCGGGTGTGTATCATGTGAAGTGAGAAATTCCCTTATTTCCTGGACCACAGACAATCTGACTTGATTTGACTACATGTGTCTCCTGCCTATGTTTTGTTCATTCTGGACCAGTTACCATATTAATCAATAGGGATTTTAAAAGACTGCCTCTGTATTGCCGAGTTCTCTTGAAACAAACATCCTCTTACAACTAACCTTATAGAAGGTCTTGCTCATATGTGCTCAACAAACAGACCTCCCTGGGATGGAATTCCCGCACCTGCTCCTTGCAATGCACCATCCAGTAAAACAAACTCATTTACAAAACAAAAACAAAAACAAAAACACAAAAACAAAATTAAAAGATGCTGAGTTGTATTCATCTGCAAAGCAAAGGAGCAGCCAATGGCCAGCATTTATCCTCATTTTATGAACAAACTACCTCTTCTTTCTGTAGGAATGGCATTCCTTTGTAATTCAGACAGTAGAGGAAGATGCTTCACAACTGAAGCTATTTTATTTTGGAGATGTTGATGCATAATATTCTGTACTAGCACAGTAGTAGCTACATAATATTCTCCTCTAATTTTGAACCCCAGTTGACCACTCCACCAAAAGTTTAGATGCCTTCTCTTGCCTTTTTAAAAAAATACTTCTACCCGCCTACTTGACAGCTGGTAGCCCCTCTGAATAAGGAGGTATGTCTACATGTTTCTCCTTTGCTGCTCATTAAAATTGTGTGTGTATATATAGCCCCTATAATTTGTCTATCATTTGCCTATATTTTCCCTACAAGAAAATTTTGCCCTGGAACAACATCTTCTTACTCCAAATTCATTTAAAATTGCTTATTTTGTTGATATTAGTGATAGGAAACATTACCCAGAAACAAAAACAACTTCATTTTATTATCCTCTTTTCTACCACTATCTATGTTTTCATGGTGCTATTAATCACAAGCTTGGCTGTTTTTGTAGATAACATTAAAATTGCAAATGAACAAGCCCACATTTAATTGGTAAGCATTCTCCTGGGGTAGAGTGAATCACATTTATTCCAGAAGCTGCAGTTATTGGAAGTTCCTGCCAGATTGTGACCATGCTGCCTCTGGACTTGGCAGGTCCATTTAGCCCCAGGAGCCTGGAGAAGCCCTTCAAACTGGGGTCGAACTCTAGGGTGAGAGATTCCACTGAGCCTGGGACAAGCAACTGATTTGTCTGCAGAGGCTAAAGTCACTCTGGGAATCAGAGTGGCTGTAACTACACTTGTACTTCTAGGAGCTGTGAAGAAATACACATGGGTCAGAGCACAGTTCCTTTTCCTTGAAGCTATTCTGCCTGGAAACTGGCCCTGACCCTTTAAAACAGTCTTCTTTAGGATATATATATA